TTGTGCATTACAATATGATCTTAATACAAATGTATAAAAATACAATTGTAAATGTAAATTTAAATATATAAATACAAGTAGAAAATATAAGATTTATATATATATATATATAAAGCATCACATCTAACACTATATAAAGGCTAGTCTAAAAAGATAAGTCTTGATTGCCGTCTTGAATTTATTAATTGAATTTAGGTCCCTGATATCACTGGGAAGCTCATTCCATAATTTTGGGGCGGCCACGAAGAATGACCGGTCTCCGAGAGTCTTGCGAGACTTAAAATGCAGGAAATATCTACTTGATGATACATCTCTAATTGAGATTAATTCACCTATATAGACGGGCGCCAGACCGTGGATAGCTTTAAAAGTACTATTACTGAAAAAACAAACCTGCTTAGAAATGTGATTGAGTATTGTCCTAAATCCTGGGCGGCCACCAATCTGATCTTCAGGAGGAAAATATGTTGCACCTACAAATGGTTTCAGGTCTGGAGTTAACCAAACACTCATTGGCCAGCCTCCACCACCAGTCATAGCCTGTAATCAAGTCAATAAGAGTGATCATTGCTTAAATTCTCTGTACAATTTTAAGACAGTGATAAAGATTGGTAATGAAAATTTAAGCAATTAAATCAAGATAGAACTATACTGCTGACATCAGGTAGAACCAGCTTTCAGATCAAAGAAAAGAAATGGTTAGGGAACTGTTTGACTCTATTTACCATATTTATTTGCCTAATAAGCTGATCCCAGCAATAAGCCGAGACCCTAAACTCTTAGCTTTCAGAAGCTATTGGATGCCAAGGAACTAAACCATAAATATTCTGCTATAAGCTGAGACCAAAACCTTTGTTGAAGTATTGTGAAAGCTTGTCGTTCTTTGTTCAACTTAAATTGCTTGTGGATGATTGCACCACTAATAGCCGAATATACATTCAATTTACATTACTCTGTCATAGGATTTTTTCTTGGTAGAAAAATTCTGCTTTAAGTTGAACCCCCCTAGTCTTATTGAAGTTTGACCAGTTCTCAATTTATTTTTACGTGCCAAAATCGCTTGGCATAAAGGCAATTAAATATGGCAGATCGTAATTTGATTGAGTCGTGACACTCAGTTGAAATGCACACCATCAGCATGTAGGTAAAAATTAGGTGATGCATAGACAGAGATTAGCCAATCAGTACTCAGTACTTGCATGCCTGACCTTTTCATAACAATCAATATTAGCAGGTTTTTCTAAATACATACCTGAATATAAGTCATATAAACTTTGTCAACATCAGGCCTCTCTTCGCGGTCCACTTTAACTGAAACAAATTTGTTGTTGAGGATTTGCGCGATCTCTTCACTCTCAAAAGATTCTCTCTCCATCACATGGCACCAGTGACAAGTTGAATAGCCAACTGTATTAGAAATACACAATTAAAATTTATTTCATTGGTATTTTTTATTATAATTATGACTACAATTATTATGATTGGTTTCATTATTATCACAAACCTTTCTGACATGAAAGACAAAAACACTTAACTCAGTGTGTGACAGACTCTTTCACAATGAGTTTTCCATTACATTTTACATCTGTCGGTAATTAAGCAATGAAAATCATTCCTCCTTTCAGAAAAATTTGTTAAAGTTACTCCAATCCAAAAATGGACATATTTCAACTGCAGTGGTATGAGAAATTTTCAGTATGGTGAATGTTTCTTGACAGGTATCTGATCTGAATTAAAATGAATTATAATGCTGTCTCACCTACCAGATAGAAAAATAGGTTTATTTTCACTCTTTGCCTTGTCAAATGCTTCATCTCCCCAAGGAAACCTAACAAATCATTTTTATTTTGAAATCAGATAGTGGAATTTGAAGGAACCTGTTTATTAGAGAGGGGGAAGGACTGGTGTAAATGGGGTGAAAGCCACTACATTTTATACAATCAAAAATCGTTGCTCAAATACAACAAGCACAGCTCAAAGACCATTTTGCACATAATAGTAAGGGCAAGATTTCTATATAACCCCATATATCAATTATGCATAGAGTAGTGCAAAGAAACCTTTATATTTAGTCTTTATGAAATGAAATGCATAATTAATGTATGGGGTTATATGGTACTCTTGCCCCTTGTTTGTCCTCTACTGAACACTAGTAACCACCCTTGCATCCTCTATTTGTAAAATTTCTACCAAATCGATATAAGATTCAAAATATCTATCCCAAACAACATGTGCATATAATTATGGTTGACCGCACCAGGGATTTGTGCACCGTAACACTTCAAGAGTGTAATTTCATGGGTTTAAGAGAGTATTTTTTCGAATATCTTTTATAACTTTCCCATAAAAAGAGCAGTAAGGCAACGGGAGACAAAACATTTTGTAAGAGTTGCTTGGATGTTACTTCATGTGATATGGAAATCGAACAGCCTTTTCAACCTATGACAACGGGACGCCTGTTTACGCGCGAATAAGATTATTACAGTGTTTTTATGACCATTTGGTCTGCACGCATGAAAATCTTCTATGATCCGGCAATTTCCGACTTTCAAGATACAATCTTTGATCAAATGCTTACCAATCAACAGGGTTGTGTTTGTGCTGCAGTAGGTAGGGCGATTTGGAATGCTGCAAACGGTTTGTATGTTTGGGTTTCTCATCTCCCCCGTCGCCACTTGCTGATGCCATCGTCCGATGCAGAGAAAGTAGGTATCTGTGGATGTAACTGGAGAGACCGGCGTTTCTTGCTGTTTTTGTTACGTTTGCCGAGATCAAGGATGCGAAAATACAGCGAGGAAGTATTGACATGGGAGTACAGCTTGAGTAAGTTCCCGCTTGCTTTCCGGGAATAGAAAGCGAGGACACTGGGAATGAGAGCATGGGCAGCCTTGCCTTCATTCATAAGTTAATAGGTGTTGTAAATTGACACCAAAGCGATCTACTTGTGTCTAGGCTTTTGTACATTGTGCTAGCATTTTTTCGAGCATTTTAGTCAGGCATAAGCATTGAGCATTATTCGAGCATTTTAGTGGCATTTTTCCGGAAAATAAATTTTTTGCGAGAAAATAAAATAGAAATTAACTTTTTTGAGTCCCGCTTTTAATTCACGAAAAAACCTAATACGGTTGAGTGGAGACTGAGGACAAGTCAGCGGTTTTACCTTTCAAGACTCAATTGGTGGCCATGTTTGTTTTCCTCGTGATCCTTGTAAGTTACGAAGAAAACATAAACCTGTATACGTTGTCGTTACTTGCAACACTTGTACGTAAGTGTAAACTTTCAAATTAATTAAAAAATCCTTTGTATAATGAGCATTATCCGAGCATTTTAGTTACTTTTTTGAGGGAGATCGAGCATTTTAGTGGGAAAAATGGAGCATTAAGGTGGAGCATTTTAGTGGGGAAACAAAAGCATAATGTACAAAAGCCTACTTGTGTCCCGTCCCTGACTAACTTCCGTAAAAGGACTAATGCAAGGGCCCTTGAAAGTTTCTTTAAAAAAGGCCGCATAAAGGCCTAGAAACTTCCCTATCTTTAAAAATTTTGGACAGATTACAAGCCAAAGCAATTTGATTCCACCCCAAACCCCAAAAAACAATTTTTTTTCAGATATGATGAATATACGACGCGACTTCTTCCTCAAAGTTTCACAAAACTTTTTCCTCGCCTTCAGGATACGAAATAAAAATATACAAAAGTCAATATAAAGTATATATAAAGTATATAAAGTCAATAAATCGACTAAAACGTGCAAATTCGCAATTTTTTTGGTTGTAAGAACAAAACCTTTCCTTTAAGCCGCTTTCCATTTTTTCAATCCGGACCGGACTCTATTAAGCCGGATTCCGGTTTCTTCAATCCCGGCCGGACCAACGCTCAGGGTCTTAAAATAATTGAGAAAAATTTGCTACCTTTCTATAACATCAAGAAATGGTTAGATATTCTAGTCTTCTCGGATAGGGACGAATAAATGGAGGTCCCGTCTCCTGCAGGGTTGGGGTAGGAGACGTTAATTTCCCACACACGAGATTACTGTGTCATCCCCTGGGGTGGGATGGGTGGGATATTGGGCGCACTTAATTTGGAGCCTCGTTTTGTCGTGTGACCCTCACCACACTCTGGTGAAAGTAATTAAATATATGATTAAATCAAATGAAGAACAAAAATCTTCCAGGATTTTAACCGCGTGGTCTGCCACGGACAATACCCGTGACATATTAAAATAGAATATGGAGGCCGTGAGTCTTCGCTTGTGGCCTGTCAGTTCTACAAACACATCCGCACATTTAAAGTAACAGACTGTGACGTTATTTAATAAATAATTAATAATTTTCCTTAAAAGACAAAGACTGCTGAACTGATGGTCAATATCGATCAGTGTTTAAATGATATGGCCGAGGCTAAAAGAAAACCAAATGCTAAGAAGAGACAGGTCTCACGAGACAACTCGGTCTCAGACAACGATGCATCTTCTACATTGAGGTGAGACTGGACGATATCTGACAACACTTTCACTTTACACAGCCGAGGCATTTTTGAAAAGATGAAATTATCTTCGCAGTCAAATGTTTGGCAGCCAAAGCGGCTGCGTGTTAAGGTTATTATGCATATTTTTTCTCGGGTTCCTTTCCGCAGCTACTCTAAGTGACGAAACATTACTGCGAGAATCGTCTCATCATTTCGTTCAGTTTCTTCAAGCTAGGTGAGATGTATAATTTCTATAACTGTGATAACACTCTTAATCTTGAAATGCCGACCAATTTGCTTTTGAGCAGCTTGTGCGAGAAGCCCAGCTCGTAACTGTCACAAACGCCGATTTCCCTCGTTTGGAAATATGAAAAATAATGTTTGAACAAACAAGTAAGGCCACCTATGTGAGAAAAATTCCTCAGTCTTTTTTTAAAGTCTCGCCGGAGAATTTGTTTCAGCGAGAGAGCACTTCTAACTTCCTCATTTACGAAATTTAAATCTGTCAATTTAAATACGAGTTGTCGTTTACACATGAGTGTCATTCAGAAGTGAGCCAACTCAGCATTCATCAGATAAAAAAATCCGTGAAATAGCTTTAGATTAAATAACCTCATTATTCAGGAAGTTCCCCCTACCAAATTGCAATTTAATTTTTCGTAAGAAATTTTAAGTGTTTTTAAGTTGCATAGCGGTATACATAAATTAACTCTGTGCTAACTCATAACAACATGCAATATGGAAAACTGGACGGGGAGATGTCAAATGAATATAACGGACGGGTAGCTTTGTCATTATGTAAGTTCGTGCATGTCTTCAAAACACTCACAACTCTTTAAAAGCTTTATTAAGATCTTGGACTGCTGCTTTACAGCTGTTGAATTCAAAACTTCTGACGAGAAGTCTATTTAGAACGTGAGTTAATGTAAATATAGAAGAAGAAATTGTGACTGTTACAAACCTATTCAGCGATAAAAAGATAGGGAAATGGGTTTGTTTATTTAAATGTTTGTCCTTGGAATTCCAATTTTATACATCTTAGCTACGAGTTGAAGGAAACTACAACTGAAGATATTTCATCAATTTTTTTCATCACTAAAACTTCGAAAAGAATTGATTTACACAAAGATCTTCCACTTCGTTTTGACATGTGGAATTGTTTCCATTCGCGAAACAATATTGCAACATCTCAGTAATGCTCGCCTATTTAATTCATGTTTAGTTTGAGTTTGCTTATCGATCAAAAAGCGTTGTGGTTGCTATGGAGGTGCCAAGGCGAACACTGTGTTGCTAACACCTGCGCATTTACATAGCCAAAAAGACGCAACGTAATAATTTACTGATATCATTTGTCAGTGTTTGTGAAAGAGTTAGCTTTGACAAGAAACAATTCGCTCATGATTCATCTCGCTCGAAAGTAGGCAGTTCTCGAGAGTATTTTCGTGTTGATGAAGGCTAAAATCGGATGAATGGCGAATCCTCCTTGGAACAAAGGACCCGTACAATCGACTTCCACAGCGATTTCATATGCTCGAAAAAGGTACTTTGTTTATGTGATATGTTTTTGTGTTGGCTCTAATGCAAGGTTCGCGCGCAGATTTTCTTTGTTTACCGCGATCGAAGTTTTCAAGGTGAAGGAAACAATTACGATATTAAAAGTAGAATCGCTTCTTCTTCCGCTTGAAGTGAAATTCAGCTTGGAATGATTTTGACGTAAAGATATCATTCATTTTAGCGCAGGAGGGTCTTTAACTTCCAAATGCCATTCGTTTAATTTATCTAAGGGAAGACTCATAAAATTGAATTGAGATATGTTGACTTAGTTGAAATGAAAAATCATATCCTTTATAGAGAAAATGACATAAAAAAATCTTATTCTATCCCGTATTTTATTTTGAACATAGCATTATTCCTTTTCGCTTGGTATGTTAAACCGAAGAAATTATTTTTTAGCTGGTGGAGAAATTCGCCCGTGGCAGTTTTACCATTGAGAGATCGAGTGGTGTCAGGAAATCTTTTAATCAAGACAGTTTCTTGAAGGCAGTTGTAAGTTTAGGAGATGGGAGAGCTTTGTACGGCGGAAATTTATCCTGTGTATCACTAGCTGTAGCCATAAATCTAGTCTAAGTCATTCAAAGTCATTCTAAGCCCAAAAAATTAAAACGATATCTTCTTGATGTTTTTAAATGTAAGCCACGAGATTTCCCAAATAGTGCATGCTATTAGTACACTCTCAGACTGTAGCTACTTTTAATGATTTTGCTTTAGCAACTCATTGTTGCATGACTGCTCGGATACAAGTCCCAATTAGTTTCATCAGGAATAGCATTGACTCGCTGCTGGTAGTGAACAACTTCAACTTGTCAGAAGCTGTCTAAATAGTCTTCCCTGAAAAGGCAAATCCCTTTCGGATAAATGTCAGTCGCTACGAAAATTTACTGAAGAAACTGAGCGAATTTATAGCACAAAATGAGCAAAAATGAGGAGTCGGTATCGAGGGCGCTTCCAAATGTTTTTGAATTGAACGGCTAGGAAAAATCCTTTGAAGATGGGATATGTGTGACTCCATGAAGAAATTCATGCTAACGAACCTCGCACTTGACTCTTCCATGACATTTGGCAGGCTAACTTAAAAGCCAGTAATTATACTAGCCATAGAAAGAATATTAAAAAAAAAAAAATAATAGATAATGACTCCAATTTGATAAGAAAAGTGAGTTCAAGATCACGGTATTTTGTAGCTGAAGTACACTGTAGGTTTTAATAATTTGCTAATAGTCGATTTTTTGTTTCGCTGCGGGTGCAAGTTTTTTGTAGTTTGATATGAACGAAATGTCCACAGGGGACTAATTTAGTTTGCAATTTTATGTCGGGCTTCAGAACCTCACAGTGTTACAGACAGAAATTCTTAAAGTTTTATTACAACAGTGAGCTACGGCGCATTATGCTCACTGGTAACAATCTACTTCATTATGTTAAATCTCCAAAAGCTAATAAACTACCGCCTAAAAAAACTGGCACAACAACATAATCAGACCCCTGCTCCCTGTCTAATCTCCGTTTTGTTTTAATTTAATGTTGGAAATGTTTTTTCGGCGTCATACGAAGCGATTTATTTAATTTTTTTTTATTCGATTGGAACATGTTTTTGCGGTTAAGGTTAATCCGCAAACCCCGCAGAAATTTTAACACGAAAAATTCTTTTTCCCATTCTCGTGTCGCATTTTCATGCCACACAATGTCTCTTTGCATCGCGGTAACTTCACGACGAGATGGTCGAAGCTTCCGCCCCAAGTTTGGGCAGACGTTGAATCGTTTGTTGGCCAGATTGTAGGTTTTGAGGTGATAATTTCAATTGAAGTTTTCGTCTCAGTCTGAAACACGTTTTTTCTCGATTTGGCTTTGAAAGAAAAAAGAAAAAAAGAAGAAGACCAAGAAAGAAAGAAACTTTCGTCAGCGTTGTGCACTGCCGGATCTTCTACGTGAATCCACTTTTCCTCGAATAGATTTGGAGGTAAAAAATATTTTGATTCAAAAAGAAAAAAAAAAAAAAAAAAGAAGGACAAAAGGAAAGACGGCGGTGTAGAATTTTAATTCGCCTAAATGATTCCACGAGGAACCTGCCAGTAGACATTGGATAGAATTGTCAGATAATACAACTTCACAATAAACGATCGTAAAAATTTCCTGCCCAACCAAAGTTTACAATGGTTGATTAGTCCATATCTCCTCCTACTGGTTGGATGACACATTTGGTAATGTCATCATCGGGAGGGGGGTATGATCACATTTTCTAGGAAGAGTCACGAAGTGGGTGTTGCATCCGCGGGTTTTCTGAGAAACCAATGAAAGAACCAATATTAATTTGAAAATTTGGGCGTTGTTCCAAACCGAAGAATTTCTGCTGAATACGACACCAGAAAACAGCCCACGCCTTGTCAGTTAAAGATATCACAGGTGAAAGAAATTGGACATTAGGGATGCACCAGGTAATTTTCTCCTAATTTCGGACACATCAGGGTGTTTTGAAGGCAAACTGCAGCTACAGATATGGAAAAACACGAGACATATTTTCACTGAAGTGTGCGATATCCCTATTTGAAAATATCCCCATGATACCCCTAGCCTCCTCCTCGGTTCGCGGAGACGGTCGCAGCGAAAGAAGAAAGCGAGCGAAAAACACTAGAGGCTTGGGAAAGAGTAAGTCCGCTTGCCTTTCGGATTTATTTCGCCCACAGGCCCACCACACTTGCGACTAATCCTGACCATCTTCCGTCTATCTTGAAACCTTTTTTGCCCGAGAAAGCAACCGTGAAGCTTAAATTTGGTCCCATGATGGGACGAGGAATACGAGAAATTCATAAATAATAGAACGTTTTAAAAGTTCAAAATTATCACCTGCCTTTAGGGCAAAAATAAAAAAAAAAAAATAAAAAAAGAAACGTAATGTTTCATTTTGAACGCATCCTTCCAAAATGTGCAAACAATTATAAAATCAATTAATGATTGCCAAATCCAAGACATTAATTTTGCATGAAATTTTTCTTAGTGATCTGCTTAGCTGAATTTTCGAGTATTCTTCGGAAAGTAGGTTTTCAGTCGTAAAATTAATAAGAATTCTTGAAATAATTCAATTAGTGTCCCACTTATTAATAAATGATGAGTAATTCGACTTCGCTCAAAATTAAACAGGTGCAAAGGTTGTTAATCGATTTTAGGCCAAAAAAAATTTATTTTTTTTTGCTTATGTGACAGTTTTGTCTGTTGGAAGATCATTAGCAACAAACGCATTAAAGTTGTTGCAATAAGTGAACACGATATTTCTAACTTAGATATTTCCTCAATTTTTCTTCACGTGTACCTTTCTGCGCCGCCAAACAAATCTTGGTATCGAGGGTAACCTACCTCAGGGGCCAATCAGAAAACGCGTTATACTGAAAACAAACATGGCGGCGTATTGGATGTGCAATCCTACTGTAGGGCTTTGAAACTCAGTCAGATATCGTTAAACAAATGGTTATGTTTCATTAGGAGTTGCGAAAAGCTATTTAGCTTCAGCGTTAAGATGGATTTGAGGTAATTTCCCTTTTTCTTGCCTTAACAACTTGCTCGTAAACACCGATCTCTCCAAATTGGAATTTGAGCTCTAGCACGATCACATTGAACATCTAAAGTTTATTTGTCTAGTTGTTAATGAAGAGAATTCTCTGTTTAATTTAGTTTTGAAGCTTTTATGCGAACTGCACAAAGCAATAGAAATCTTTTGAATTAGGTTCCACTTTGAGTGATAAAACTTCTTAGATTGATTGAAGATAATTAATGTTTATATTCGTTTGCACGGTAGAATTACATACTTCGTTTGTTGAAACAGTTGAAATATAACAATACTTTTCGACCAAATGAAATAATCTTTTGGTTTATTGTGGAACCACTTGATGGAAAAAGTTTCTCGTTATCGTAAGTTCTAATGCCGCAAAATCCTCTAAGCTTACATAATCTATGCAAAGCTTAACTTTTAATTAATTGGAAATGGAAAATTTTGGCTTTTCAAAATGGTCATAATGTGTGAAGTTGAAAAAGCTTGTTTTCAGAACAGTCCATTTTTCTAAGGCCAAGGTCCAACAGGGAAAAGCTTGGGCAAGATTTCGATATAACCCCATACATTATTATTTATTAAAATCATCTTTATTGAGGAAACTTTTTCATAACAAATATGGTTTTCAAAAAGGACCTCGAAACTAGATATATATAGTAGAAACAAAAAAACAATAAAATTGCAAAGGGATTAAAAGGATACAAAAACGGCATTAAAAAATTAAAAATAAGTATAAATAAAAATTAAACGTAAGTAGCTATATTAAAAACTTAAAAACATTACGGTTAAAACTATTGACATTCCATTGACATTCTCTTGACACTTGCTTATACAGATATTCTGTAATTTATATATATATTTTTTTATAGACCAACTGTTGGTGCCCATAGTCATCCTTTACCAGCTATAACAGACTCTTCAGAAAAAGGAGTGCGTAGGAATAACAGTCCAGCTCATGAGGGCGGCGGACGTCTTAGACATCTTGAAGGACGATTGAATGTGACTGATCAGTCAAATAAGGCATTATTAGAAGAACTTGTTCGTTTACAGGGAGAACTGAAAGGAAGCATACGGCGTAATGAAGACACATTGAGGGAGGAAAGGGAAGAGAGGCTTGTTCTATCAGAAAAAATTAGATCAGCAAATAATTTGTACACTCAGATGATGATGAGAGTCGCACGTGCTGAAGAAAAACTTGAATCAGAGCACAACACAGTTGGGACTCTTGTTAACCACACCAAGCAGATGGAACAGGCTTTATTAGGAAATCAACAGCAGTTACTAAGTCGCCGGGAACAGCTTCACGTTCATGTGGAACGAGTCAAAGACGACATGGAAGACATGAGAGAAAGCCAAGAACAATTGCAGAAAAATATGAGGGCTCTAATAGATGATGTTAGAACAATGAAGAGTAAACATGAAGTGCAGACTGTTCAGTTTGGCACTGTGGTACAAGAAATAAGACAGAGGATGAAGAAAATTGAGGGTGACACAAACAGTGCAGTAAGTGCTAAATCGCCCTACAATTTCATGGAGGGAGAGGGGACAAGAGGTGACAATCTCATTTATCCCCTGCCCTCTATCCTGCCAATCCCCCCCC